TCTGTGTAACATGTTTTTCCTCTCTGCATATCTATCGACATATATAAGCAATCATTTTGCTAGTGGAGGGTTTTCTTGTTCGACCAAATTTACTACTTAAATTGTCTCTGGTCACAGAAAACAAGGCGACAGTGCAGTGCTGCGGTTTAAGCTAATGTAACGACTACTATCCGTCTTACACTGCCGCAGTATCGTTGTAGAGCAAGCAGGTTTGCACTTTTCGCCATGTAGATTTGTCAAAGTGAAATATAATAAAGGATTTGGCTACTCCACTTATTGTGGTGGGGGTGGTGGGTAGGATAAACTTATTGTATCTTGCGAAATGAGACTGGTATGCCGGCGTTACGTTTGAAATTACTTTGGAACATGTATTTCGATTAGTACCACAGAGAGTCGCTTTCGTTGACGAGATGTGACAGCGACAGCGTGGACGAAAAAGTAGAAAGGCTAATTAAAATCTCAAATGACGTAATAACTGTAATTAAACTGTGCTACTCATATGAGTTATTTTGCTGTGTTCGTTCAACTGTGACAGTCTGAGACCACACAGTTTTCCTTCTCGTTCAGTTAGATTTTTATCGGCTTATCCTTCTGCAGTCCCATTGGGCGAAGTGATTTTTTAGCATGTTGTTTTTCTGTCACGGCAGAACCGATTTCATATGCTCTGTTCAGAGAGACTATATGTTGTGGCTACCTGTTCTCGACCTTGCTTCTCAGTTTCTTAAATGAAACTCTCACTATCTCTCTCTCATTCCACTTGCACAGTTCACGCGATAAAAAACTAGAGCTGATTTTTTGGTATTTTTAAATAAAATCCGATCCTTTTCCTTGTAAGCGATATTTTAGAAATTACAGGGCGAATTTCCGATCGTTTCTATCCGAATTCAACAGCATTTCAATTACGTAAATTTTTAAAGCACGGAATAATGGGAAAAGATCATTTACTAACTCTTGTCTGGGCTTTTTTTGGTTCGGTTGTTCTAAAATCTGCTGCCAGATCATCTTATGGATATCATCTCTTTGCCGGATATGGTTTTCGACATGGTTAACCAAGAACAGAGTTATGTGGAAGAACGCAAATCTTGCACTTAGTAACTTGAGTACATAGAACATTGTTTTTAATTAATATAATAACCTGCAATGCTTATTTTAAATTTGATAGTGTAATGTGCAGACAGCGTTACCGTACCCTGATGGGTCTCCTATTAATTCGGTCTTAGCCGAAATCTGCATGAATCATCAGGAGACCATTTCCGTTCCTCTCTGTTGCCTCACTTCAGACCTGCGTTATATTTAAGATGTATAGATGACGTTTTCATTTTGCATAATAAGCTTAATCATTTACAACTACCTGCTACATGAATATTTGAATAACCAAGACGCTAACAGTATAAAACCCGATGGCTTTTTTGATATTCTCGCGAAGCAAGACGCCAATGGTACATTCTTTTTCTGTTAGAAAACCACAGCATTCTAAACGTTATCATAACGCTTCATCCTACACTGCCAAATCTCTCTTCATCAGTATCATGAAATGCATCGATCGTTGTGGCTTAACCTATTGCAGTGATGACTGACTTTTCAAGGGTGAAATCAAGCAGTTTTCATCTACTTTCCTTACAAATGGACATATCAAATATGCAAATGATTCTCTGTTTAAGCGCCCGTTTCTTGATTGTAACTCCCCAATGTCGATGTCATGTCTAAGCATATAGGAATAAATTATACATTATTTCAAAACCTGCGGTCTTGGCTTATTTTCCCGCAGGGACAACCATAGGATACCCACTGTACAAAATGCTTGATCATCACCCTAGCTTGGAGAGTAAACCTACGGTCTGTCAGCTAGCTTGCAAGAGTTGTGAACGGATATGTGATGGCAAAACATTTCTCTTCATCAATATCATGACATGCATCCGTAATAGAAATTTAAGCTATTGCAGTGATGACTGAACTTTTCCTGGACGAAATCGAGCACTTTTCATCTGCTTTCCTTAAAAATGGATAGGTTAACGGTCAATGGATCATTCTCTGTATAAACGACGTCACAAGTTTGGTTACGACACTTTTTCTAAATTCCCCAATTTCGATACCATGCGTATCACCAGTGTCCGAAGAAGTTAGACGATATCTGAAAAACCGATAGTCTTAATATATTTTTCTGTATGGGCAAAGCCTCAGGAAGTCTGTTATACAAGAAACTTCATCCACACCCTGCCATTTGATAGTAAAAGCATGATCAGTGGATAGCTTGCAATAACTATGACCGG